AGATTGGCATTGCCGTCAAACTGGTACTGGATGATGTTGTTGAAGATCTCCAGGAGGAAGAAGACCAGGTGGTGGTTGCTGGGGTTGCTGAAGAGGAACCAGGGCGTGCTGAAGGCCTCCAGCAGGTGGAGCACTTTGGCGGCCGCCACCATGGACAGCGTCTTCAGGTAGGGGCTGACGTTGACGAGGATGGTGAGGAGGCAGTCGAAGAGTGGCTGCAGGCGCGTATGGCCGGTGGTGATCAGCTTGTGGAAGACCACCACCAGCAGGTCGGCGTGCGTCCCCGAGAAGATCGGCAGGTCCATGGGCGCCGTGGCCAGGTACGGCCGGTTCAGGCGGACGCCAAAGTTGCGCTCCCCGCTGAGCAGCAGCAGAATGAAGACGCCGATGTGGACGAGGNGGGCGCCGTGGCCAGGTACGGCCGGTTCAGGCGGACGCCAAAGTTGCGCTCCCCGCTCAGTAGCAGCAGAATGAAGACGCCGATGTGGACGAGTCCCACTCGGGAGCGGTCCGCCCGGGCGTCATTCAGGTGGTAGAGAATGGGCACCAGGATCTGCAGGACATCGCACGTCTTCAGTACGTAGTGCATGAACTTTTTGTTGTAGTCGCAGAGCTTCCAGAAGAGGACCAGCAGCTCCTGGTGGAAGGCGATGCGTTTGTTGCTGTTCGGCAGGTAGCTCTGCGCCAGCGGATTGTTCAGCANACATCGCACGTCTTCAGTACGTAGTGCATGAACTTTTTGTTGTAGTCGCAAAGCTTCCAGAAGAGCACCAGCAGCTCCTGGTGGAAGGCGATGCGCTTGTTGCTGTTCGGCAGGTAGCTCTGCGCCAGCGGATTGTTCAGCAGGCGGGTGAAGCCGCGCAGCAGAAACTCAAAGTCGTCCTCGCGGTGGATCCGACTGAGGTAGTTGATGAAGAGGTTCAGGTGCAGCGGAGACTGCTCGCTGCAGATGGACAGCGGAGGCGATGAGGTGTTCATTGTGGTGGTGTGGTAGGCCATTGTTGTCCTCGTGTCCTGAAGTTCCGGGTCCGGGTCGGGTCGTTCCTGGTTCAGCGGTGGGGCAGCTGTCGTCGTCCGCTTGTTGCTAAAGTCGTGNCGAGGATGACGATGAGCAGCTGGAGGGCCACCTCCACCAGCGGCTCCTTAGAGTCGCTGAAGAGGAGGTGGTTGAAGGGCAGCAAACCGCCGTTGGGATTGTACGCAAAGACGGTGTTGAGGAGTGAGGTGAAGAGCGGCAGGGCGTGCCGGTTCTCCGCACTGCTGAAAAAGTCGATCCAGGCGTTGGGCGTCCGACCGACCTCCGCCGTGCTGCAGTACATGCTCTCGCTGAAGCAGGTGAGCAGGAGGCGGAGCAGCGCCGTCCGGTTATGGTCGTACTGGGCACTGCTGGGGCTGGACATGGAGCAGCCGACGCCCGCCTCCCAGATGTACTCGCAGCTGTCGATCGACTGCAGGTCGTCCGGGGGCGAGTCGGGGACGCCGAAGCGGGAGCTGCTGCCGCTTTTCGAATCTTTACCACTGCCGCTGCCGGTGCTGTCCAGCGGAGCGACGGTAAAGTCCGGACAGAAGAGGAGGTCGGCGAGGGCGAGCAGGAGGGACTGTGCGAGGGGCATGTTTGCCAGCAGGTCCATCTGATGGGAAGCGTGGTGGCGGGACTGCTGCTGGTAGTGCTTTCGGTAGAAGGAGGCGCCGTGAAAGCTGCCACTGCCACCACCTCCTCCAATGGCCGCTGCATCGTCGAGCGAGGACAGCGATGCGGAGGGCGAGGGCAGCGTCGACCAGAAGAATGACGCCCGCCAATCCGCTTCCTCGAAGACGTACGGCAGGAGGCGGGTGAGCAGTGCCACGCAACTCAACACTGTCTTCTGCTGTTGGACGGTGTTGCAGAGCGTGTCCGTCACCCTTACCAGCTGCTCCACGGCCTTGTAGCAGAGGGTGGCCAGGTTCTCGGGGTGGTGGTCGCGCAGTGCCCTGATCTCCGCCGCCGTCAGCACCGTGAAGACGTCGCCTACCGCCTCGATGTGGTTGTCGTGCCAGAACTGCGACCAGAAGGCCTCGTCGTCGGCCGGCGCCGGGCCCTGTCGGCCGGTCAGCTCGTTGATGGCCGCCCGGTAGGTGCTCAGCTTGCTGTCGTTGTTGCCCATTAGAAGGGAGTGAAGTAGGTGGTGAGGCACTGGAGATGCTTAGAGGAAGAAGAAGGTGTGTTTGTGTTTGTGTTGGTGTGTTGTTGTGCACTTGAACCCTAAAGAGCACTCGAGCAGTCCACTTCAGTGCTGGCGAGTGGAAGACCACAACAGAGAGGGTGAGCCAGTGAGTTGGCCACCATCATCATCATCATCGGTAGTATATAGCAAAGTCGGAGTGTGCCCACTGCGCTGGCCACTGTTGGCCTCACCGGTGCTATATAGCGGCACCCGATTCTATGCTGGTGGTGGTGGTGGTGACGCTAATTAATGTCACTCATGCAGTTGATTGACAGACGTTGGCAGTGGGGGCCAGTGGTCACTGGTTGCTACTGCACTAGCATTGTGTACCCAAGATAGCGCACATGTTTTCGCTGAGACGGGTCTGTGTTGTTTCCCGATGGACCATATTTTGCTCTTCTGTCGGCGGTGACACGCAATACGGCCATTCACGGTGGAGAGGAGAGGGGCTTTGTTTAATCTAATTTCGATTAGCGAGACGGTGACCAGCAACACCAGGCAAACATGCTCTAATTGGATTACTGGCAGAGAGGATGATGAGAGGAAGGAAGAGACACTCTATAGAATGGGAAGACTTGTTGTTGCAGGTGCTGCTGCTGCTGCACTGTTCTACCGTCAGCACAGACACTGCCCGGACACGGACAATGGCGGACAGGTCGAGGAGGAATGATAATGAAAATGAAGAGGAGGAGGACGTCGAACAGCTGCTGCAGGAGGCTATCGAAGGTGATGATGCTGCCGTTTCCATCGCAGGCGATGAGAATCGCCTTCGAGAGGTCAACTGTGAGTACTTGATTTTGGGAGTTGTTTCATCAGTCTTTAACACTCTTTTTTCCCCCGTTTAGTCGGCATCAGCCAGACCACCGGCCTTTCCAGTCTGAACTACGATGAGCTGAACGACGACACGCTGCTCATGGCTTCAGAGTGGAACCTCCTCACCGAGGACTTTGCCGACGAGGAGGAGGAGGTCATTGTAGTCTCGACGCCCGTCCAGGAGGAGGAGGAAGGCAACCACGGCCTCCAAGCGCTTTCACTCCAGCCACCGCCACCGTTGATCTCCTCAGAGGACGATGAGCTGAGCAGTTTTGGAGCACGTTCGGAGCAGCCCAAAGTGACGGGCTCAGCATCAGCTTCAGTGGCACCGAAAATCAGCTTCACACATCCTCAGCTGATTCCGGCAGACTTTCGCCTCGACTCGGAAGACTACGATGAAGGGGAAGGGGAAGGAGATCAAGGGATCAAAGTGGTGGTCGTGGACGAGGCGGAGGCCTCACGTCGCTACCTGACCATCCACTCAGCACCACTGTACCGCTGGTCAGAGGGAATGCTGCCTTCCATTGCCGCCCTGAAGGCCAGCAAGCAGGAAGAGGCAGATGCTAATGCTTCCATTGCTGATCAGCACACTGCTGCAGAGGACAGTCACGAGGAGGAGGGCGAGGAGAAGAAGATGCTGCTGCAGAGTGTCCAGAGTAGGTGTTCTTTGAGTTTGGAACAGTTACTAAATTGAGCACTTTCTTTCTTTTCTCCCCAACAGACGGCCCGTCGATACCGGCGTTTGATGAGGCAGCCAAAGGCCACCCGCCGCCCAACTCGCTGCGCTCTCCCTGGATCGCCGAGCGACTGCGCCACCTCGCCAAAGCCTACAACGACCGAACCTCCTTCGTGAAGAAGGAGCTGGCCAACTACTCCGACTCGGAGGACAGCGAGGACTCCAGCGACCAGGACTGCACCGGCGATGACACCGATGGCGAGGAACGGCGGGCGGCCGCGGAGAGAAGACGCCGAGAGCACTTTACCTTTGAGTCCATTTTCGGCGACGAGTGGGACAACACCGGCAGTCAGGAGCAGAGTCGACAGCTGC